TATGTTGAAATCCTAACTCTCACTGTGATGGTATTAGGAGGTGGGGCCTTTCAGAAGCAATTAAATTGTAAGAGTAGAGCTCTCATGAATGGGACTTGTGCCTCTCTGATATGGATTGGATTTGTGTTCTCACCCAAATATTTTGAATTATAATCTCCAGTGTTGGAAGAAGGGCCTGGATCATAAGGACAGACTTTCCCCTTGCTGTTCTCCTGATAGTAAGTTCTCACAGGATCTGGTTAATAGTGTGTAGTTCCTCCCCTTTCTCTCTCTTCCTCCTGTTCCAGCCATGTAAGACGTGCTTGCTTCCCCTTCACCTTCTGCCATGATTATAAGTTTCCTGAGGCCTCCCCAACTATGCATCCTGTACACTCTGTGAAACTGTGAGCCATTTAAACCTCTTTTATCTATAAATGACCTAGTCTCAGGTATTTCTTTACAGCAATGCAAGAACAGACTAGTGCACCTTGTAAGAAAAAACAGGAGAACTTGCTTTCTCTATTTACTCTCTGCCATGTAAGGGGACAGTGAGAAGATGGTCATCTGCAAACCAAGAAGTGGGCCCTCCCTTCACTAGATCTACCAGCACCTTGATTCTGGACTTCCAGCCTCCAGTACTGTGAGAAATAAATATTTGTTGTTTAGGCTTCCCAGTCTAATGTAATTGGTTATAACAGGCTTAGCTGACTAATACACCATCCATTTCCTCTTGTCCTGTACCTTTAATCTCACTTTCCCCATGACTTTTTTCTCCTTATCTTAAAAATGTTTTCTATACTATTCTTCATCACAGTACTAGCCTAAATTGTCCTTCTCCCAACTCCAAACTCTTAAATAGTCTATATTTACATCTACTTTTTAAAAATTCTCATTCTTGCCACAGCACATTATACCATTATCCCAAACTCCTCTTGATACAAGTCACCAATGGCATCCTAAGTACCAACACCAAGGATCTACTTCAATATTTATTCTGGCAGATTCCCCACAGCATCTGAAACTGTTGACTCCTCCTCAAACCCTTTCGATAAATAAATAAAAAACTAAAATAAAATAATAAAAAATGTCAATAACTAGGAGATAACCGAGAAAAGTTAACTAATGGTAGAGGTTTGGGCATAGAAAAGGGGACACTGTTAAAACTGAAACTTGGAAAATGAGTGGATGCTATCAGAAGGAGCAAGGGCATCTCAGCAGAGCTGACTCCTCCTGAAACCCTTTTCCTCCTTGGCTCTGTTCCCTCTCAAATTAATTTCTATGAAAATGTCTTGAATGAGGAACTTAAATTCATTTTTGTTTTCCTGCGTGAACTCTTTTTACTCTACCTGCTTTCCTTGGATGATTTTGTCTCCAAGAACTCCAAGTACCATCTGTATGTGCCAATCACCAGGGGCCTGGCTGGAAACAGATGGCACTCTCAAATGGGGTAATTGAGAAGGTTTTAATAAAGCAACTATTTACTATTTCTAAGGTAAACCAGAAAGGAATGTTTAGTACCCTAGGTCTTATTGCCCTGAGGCCTAAGGGGATAAAGGAAGAAAGCAATTTTGGGGATAAAGGAAGAAAGCCATTTTTGGAATCTAGAGAATGAATACCTAATAACGATTACTGGGAAAGAGCTGCACCCTTTGGAAGAGGTATGCATCTAGATTATGGTGACCTGAAAGGGAAGAAGTCATAAAATAAATATCTAAAACTTACTCTCTTTAGGCTCTTTGAACTTTTGCTGGTGCCTCCCATTGTGTACACCCACCTGGAAGCCAACATACAGTAATGAAATCAAGGGATCCTAGGGCGAAAAGAAGACTGGAAAGTGTAAGGAGAGGGACAAATGGAAAATATCTAGCCCAGATGCTGTATCTCTAGTTTTAACTGCTCTTCTGAGATCTTGACCAATATTTCCATCTTCATCTCTAATCTATTTGCATCTCACCTATGGGCCTTAAAATTAATTGGCCCACGTCTTCTGTTTTTCTTATAGACTCTTTCTCATTTAGTGATGCAACTACTTTCTCCCAATCAAAAGACCATGGCATGTCCTTCACTTTCCTTCTCCTGTAGTTCTTCCATTGAGGTCTGGCAAGTACTTTTTCATAGAAACGTTTTTTTTTTCTTTTTTTTTTTTTTAATTCTGAGCTCTCCTTGCCAATTCTATCCATCTAATCCATATCCTTGTGTTCCCTTTCCTAGACTTCTATAATGATTTCCCAACTCAATTCCCCGTAACTGTTCTTCTCACCACTTTTAATGCATGTACACTGCTATCAGTTATCTTCCTGAAACACAGATCTAATCATGACATTCCATTGTGTAAAATCTCTAATAGATCTCTGTTGCCTTTGCATAAAATCTAAACTTTACATATAACCTCCAAGGCACTAATCTATGCCTTTAGCATCAGGCACTTGCCTATTCAACAAATATGTCTTGAACACTAACTGTGTGCCTGATAAGAGAGTAGATGCTAAGAAACACAAACAAGAGATCATGCACACATTCCAGCCACTAGACTGCAATGAGAGCGATACATGAATTAAAAAATGAAACTCAAGTGCCAATAACTAGGAGATAATAGAGAAAAGTTAACTAATGGTGAAGGTTTGGGCGTAGAATAGGGGACACTGTTAAGACTGAAACTTGGGAAATAAGTAGATGTTCTCAGAAGGAGCAGGGGCATCACAACAGAGGATTTCATGTTTCCATGTATAATAGCATAAAATAAGGTGGATTTAGTGAACTAAAAGTGACAGGTTAAAATAACGGTCTTCCCTCCAGGGGGTCACAATCAGCTGGCCATTCAGGGCAACGGACTTTCCATTCCAGAACCATGGCCCAATTATCCGTAACCTTGTTAAGAAGACCCTGGCGCTGGTGAATGCTGCTGTGACTTACTCGAAGCCTCAGTTGGCCACATTTGGTACTACACCACGATTAAGCTGATTCCTCACACCTCTGCTGAGATCCCTAGAGCTATTCAGAAACTAAAAATAACAGTCAGTAGTGCTCAGACTGGTAGCTTCAAACAACTCACAGTTAAGGAAGCTGTGCTGAATGGTTTGGTGGCCACTGAGGCGTTGAGGTGGTTTTATGTTGGAGAGATCATAGGCAAGCATGGCATCATTGGCTACAATGTTTGAAGACCAATCTTTAACATCTGATTATATTTGATTTATTATTTGAGTGTTGTTGGACCATGCTATCTGGATAAAATAAGATTTCTCAAAAAAAAAAAAGTCTTCAAGAATTGTACATGTAAAATTTGTGCTTTCCCAGTATGTAAATTATAGATCAATTGTTTTTAATTAAAGGGAAATTTGGGGGAGTAATAAAAGAACTCTGTGCCACGATTGAGCTGTATATATTTGTAAAACTTTAACAAACTGTACATTTAAAATATGTACTTTTAAAAACAGTATGTGTATTAAGTACATCTCAATATTAAAAAGGATAATCTGGGCATCAAAAAGATTTAGTTTTTCTCCATCCCTGATCAGTTATATTAAATTAAACAGGTAACTTATCTTCTCTAATTTTTCTGATCTGAAGTAATAACACCTTCCTCATAGGACTACAGATGACTTTTTTTGGTGCTTAGCATGTAGAAGATTATTAATGAATGAGATCTGTCAACTGGTACTTGAATGTATATAGGATTTATCAAGATATACAGAAATAATCCAAGTCTGAAAAGTAAGCAAGGACATCTCAAAACAACCTATGTTTGTATTTTTAGAAAAATCAACTTGGTTTCAGTGTGGAGGATTAGAGTACAGACAGGCTGTAGCAGGAATCTCATTAGGAAACTAATAGAATAAAAAACGGAAGGGACCAAATAGTGACAGTAGCATATTCCTTGGAGTGACAGAATATGGCAATTGGCTGTGGAGGCAAAGATAAGGGTAGTGCTATTTTCCAAGAAAGTAAAGAGACTTGGATACATAAAGGAGTTCAATTTTGAGAGTTATGTGAGATGCCTGTAGGGTTCAGAGATAGGTATGCATAGTACACAAGTGGATATATGGCTCTGGACCCCTAAATTCAGACAAGATTTGCTATTATAGGCCAGTTGCAGTGGCTTACGCCTGTAATCCCAGCGCTTTGGGAGGCTGAGGCTGGCAGATCACCTGAGGTCGGGAGTTTGAGATCAGCCTGACCAATGTTGTGAAACCTGGTCTCTACTAAAAATACAAAATTAGCCAGGCCTGGTGGCACACACCTGTAATCCCAGCTACTCAGGAGGCTGAGGCAAGTGAATCGCTTGAACCTGGGAGGGGGAGGTTGCGGTGAGCTGAGATCACACCATTGCACTCCAGCCTGGGCAACAAGAGCAAAA